GAGAGCCTGCCTGACTTTGCTCACTGCCACACTTTGCATCTTCTACTGGACCTACTTCCATAAATTCCCGATCTCACTGCTATCCTAGATGTTTGAGCAAAAACTTCCTTTACACACCTTCAGAGAGGGAAAAAAGCTAATCAAACTGAAGACTGGTGAGGTTTTGTTTCAGTAGCCTATACTTTTGACTTCCTTGTTGAAACAAGCTGCTTAAGGTTTCAGGAATCATTTCACCAAAACTATCAGACTCAGGGGACATTTGGTGAAAAAAAATCCAAACCTATATGAAATGAGAACACAGCTGCCTGGTCACGAAGGAGAGTTTTCAAAACGAGTGAAAAGACAATACGTTTTTGACTTTGTGGTACATGAGGTTTAACTAAACTTTTTTGACACAAAGATGATCAATAACACCATATGGAAAAACAAAAAGCTCTGCTTTATACCTAATAATATCTATCCAGAAGTGCATAAATTATTGCCCTTCAATCCTCTGGATTTTTGAGTTTTGACCTGCCTGAAGAGCACTATATTGCACCCATTTCCTTGAACACAGTGCCTCTCGTGATCCTCAGTGAGGAGTAAGAACGTGAAAACCTCACTCCAGTTGAGTTCCCCTTTGCCTATAAGGAAGCCTTCGCCACCATCGGGGATATAACATGTTCCAATCACCAAGCATTTTGTTGATCCTGGATGTTGAATTGTGCCCCCCCTTTTGTTACAACATAGATAATTAAATTTCTCAGTGTTGTATAGTTTATGTTTGTATTAATAAAGCATCTTTGTTTATGAGACAAGGAGAGAGACAGAAACAGAGACAGAGACAGAGAGACATAGAGATAGAAAAATAAGGAAATTTACTGTGCAGGGTCCCTGCCATAAGATGAGGCAAGGGAGGCTGAGGCTCAAAAAATGACTGACTATTTCTTGGAACAGCCAAGTCTCCCCATCCAAAGCCTTCTTCAAATAGACATTTGAATTCATCAGAGTCCCTTTCTAGGATGCAACACAAACAGAAGGAATAAAAGTGATTAAAAAGGGGGGAGGGATCAATCATTCATAACTCACTGTGCATCTGTTCAACTTGCCACTGTATTGACAAAGGTTTATGTAGTATGTTTTCCCAGGTGGAAGCAGTCTTTGTGTAGGGGAGATGCTGGAGGGTATAAAGATCCCCAGAAAAAAATGAAGTAGAGAGCATGAATTTTGCAAAACCATACAAAATTAGCAGGAGTCTGGAGTGCAGAGAACAGATGGAAGAAAACCGATAGGAATGGGAAACAAATGCCATTTTCCACATTGTTTCTGAGAACCTGACTTGAAAGGTCATTAAAAGAAAGGTTCCTCTAATGTTAATTACCGAGGGCTAACCTTGATGGCTGTGATGTCAGAAAAGGCACTGTATGTTCATTTTCATCTCATGAGGAATCAATGCATGTGAAGTTGAGATACTGATATTGCTTGCCCTGAGAATTAGAGGCCTGGGCACCGTCACCAGGAATTGCCTATGTTGCTATCGTAGGACTTTATTTAATTTAGTTTAGTTAGTTTTACTTTAGTTACTGATGAATCAGCCACCTAATTATCACTCATATATTGTTGTCAGATTGCTTGTTTATCTCTGCCTGCTCCAGGCCTGACAGTGGATGGATGTAATGGGATATTTCACCAAATCCCAGAAATCACTTTCAAATTTAGCATGCCTACAAACCCCAAGTACAACTAGCCATTCCTTGGGGATTGGCTATAGAATAATTCATGGATACCAAAATCTAGATGTTCAATTCTTTTCTAAAATGGCTTAGTATTTGCATATGACATGTGCACATCTCCAGTAGTCTTTAATAAATCATCTCTACATTACTTAGTAAATGCTACATGGTTGTGCTATATTGTTTAGGGAATAGGAAAAATCATTTGTGCATATTCAATATAGTTACAATTATTTTCAAGGATTTTTACTTGAGATTGGTTGTATCCACAGACATAGAAATTATGGATAGAAGTTCAACTATCAATCAAATCCACATTGGAAAACTCAGGGAAGGAGGGTTTTTACTATGATCCTCAAAATGTCACTCAGTGATTGTGTCATTTACTAATGCTACATTGGACTTCAGAGAGCCTCAAAAATAAAGTACTGGAATTCATTTGAGAGAAAATATAATTCAAGTCCTTTCTCAGAGGATGGAAGGAAGATAAATAACGGAGAGATACCTTCCAGTGTTTACAAATACAGAAATTAGAGTGAATCGATAATCAACAAAGGCATAATAGCTAGATAATCCAAATCTATTTTATTATATGTAATATTTAAAAGACAAGTTGAATAACAGCTAAAAGATTACCTTTGCTTTTAAAATGTAAAATAAAGTAGATTTTACATTTAGTTATACATTTTTTGGTTATATTTTTCATAAGACAATTTTTAATATTAACAAGTGATAGCAACTTACAAAATGGAAATTAACTAAAAGGAAGTGAAATATGAACAATTATATAAGACAAAACATGAAAATTATACAAAAGGAAACCAATTTATAATATATTTTATGTCAATTTTGTTAACACCTCCAATTAGTTTGAGATCATAATCCTAAAATTACTTAATTTTAAATGTTATAGACAAAAAAAGAGTTCACATGTAGTTTAAACTTACAATAAAAACAGAAAAGGAAGAATAATGAAGGAAATGAAAAGATTATTCATACTTTGATTACAAATCTATTCTTACAACATAACCTAACAAGCGAACTTAATCTAACTTAACCTAATTTTGTCTAACTGAACCTAATACATTGCATATTCCAACTATAACCTTTCTTCACAAAATAATATAATGGCATGATTATTTTTAGGACTTTAGATCATGAATCCATTCTTACTATTGTTCTATTGTTTTAAGCTTTTTTTTTTAGTTCCTAACCCAAGCACAGACACAGCAGTGTTTAAACTTGTATTATGCTCACAGATTTTTTAACTTTAAAAAGCCTTAGTATTTTTGAAACTACATATCATCAGAAAGAAAAACAAAGCTTAAGGAATTTCAAGAATTTGCTTATTGTTTTAGAATCTTTACTTTTTCATCATTGTTTTATGGCTTTTAATTTTTTAACTGCTCCCTGGCACGACTTCAGCTTACAAGAAAGATGCATTGTTTCTGGAAGTTTTACTTAAAAATTCTTAACATTTTTTAATTGCCATATCATCTACATTTTAAAAATATGATCAATGCACATTAAAAATGTTTAGCTGTTTTACAGGGTTTGAAAGTGTTTTTCTTATTATTGTTATTCGTGTGTGTGTATGTGTATGAGGAGTTTTATTTCTATTACCTCTAACATAAGGACAAATGTAGCTGTCTTTCCAGATGCACTGTGTTCAAAAGTTTTACTGACAAACCTCAATATTCTTATACCTTCTTTTCATCTCCAATGATAAGATTTTAAGAATTTGTTTTGGGTTTCATTGTTTCAAGTGAGTTATTCTTTTACAGAATTTAATATTGTTTTTATATCTCCTGAAGTGGGTGCCAGTTTAGCAGCTTCCTTTATGCATTTTGATCTAAGGTATCATATGAAAATTATAAAAATGGTAAGATCTAATAAATTTTACAGATGTTTCAAAATTTAAGCTCTAAGAATTAGGAGTGATTTTTTAAAATAAGGGTTTGTTTGGGAATTTATGGGATTTTCTGTAATTTATATTCAACCTAGGTAAAATTTTAGCAGATTTCTAGTTGAACTGTGCTTGAAATTTTCATATTAAGTGACATAGTATATTTTTTTTAATTTACAGAGCTATGACACAAAATACTAATGCAAGTGTTAGGAACTATTTTTGCTTGTTTCTCTTTTTTGGGTCCTTTTCATTTTGTAGTTTTTGTTTTATTTTGCTTGTTTTGATTTATGTATACTTTTTTCAATTTGCTCCTGACCTGCACACAAATTCAGCAGCTATTTGGCTACATTGTGCTCCAAAACTTAATAGAAAATAGGAAATATATATATTCTATAGATACACAAAATTATTAATGCAAGGTTTTTTGGCTTTATTAATTTTTAAGGTTTTTTTGTTGTTATTTATTTACATTTTTTTTCAATTCACTCCTGACCTGGGCACAAATGTTGCAGAATTCTGGCTGCATTGTACCCCAAAATTTAATATGAAGATAAATATTTTACAAAACCCAGTCACTCCCCACAAAATGAAAATTGGAGTTTTTAATTTTAAAGAATGTGGTATTGCTTACAGATTGTTAATTGACATCTTGTATTTTTATAGGATTTTTCCATTCTACACCCCCAAGCACACAGGTAGCAGCTTTTTAGCTTAGAAGTTTGGAATGAAAATCTTATTGTAGATTTAAAAAGGAAAATATTAAAAACTGAGATCATTGGTAGTTATAAATGTATAAATCTTGTTAACTTTCCATCTCTTCTCATCCATATTCATGCAGTTTTTCTGTTGTCAAAATTCACAAGTTTTGCCAATTCTTTTAAATGTGACACATTCCTTATTAATAATGCTAGATTAAAATATGCTCATATGCTAAAATAAATTTCATGGTAATTCACAAAAACTAGCATGTATCAGTAGTAACACAAACATTTTTTAAATAAATCCCTGAATTTGTTCTATACTTATAGGCCAAATCCAATTACCAAAATCATTGGAATGGAAATGTATTTTGAAAAGTTTTACAGTAATCTCCACCACACTGAAGACAAGGCCACTGACAACTTATATATAATGTGATACAATGAAATACCAACTCAGAAGAAGAGTCTGGTGATCTATTTTGGTTTCTGTAATTAGACTTGACCTATAATTACTGAACAAAACAGCGTATGTACAATAAATGTCCAAACAAATGGATCTGGCTGTATTTGGTACAGTAATCTATTCTCAGCATCATTAGCTTCAATCTTTTTTCTTATTTGTATCATAAGAAAAATCATAGGAGAAACTATATCTGGACCTGAAGACAATTCTCGTACCTAGAAAGTGGATTCTAGCATTAATTCACCACCATTATTTGTTGTTTGATCACTAACTTCCTCTTGAATAGCTGGAAGGGAAGGCTTTGTGGTCAGAGGTGTTTCAGTCTTAAACAGAGACTCCATTCTGATATGGGTGTTGATGTAGAAGGACTTCTGAAAAGACTCAAGGGTAAAGTAATAGATGAAAGGGTCAAAGCAACAATTCAGAGTGGCAAGGCACAAAGTAATTGGGTACATGATCTTTGCAAATCGTTCCAACAAACAATTAGTAATGGCTTGAGAGCGCACCAAGGCATACAGGAAGAGAACAGAGTTGTAGGGTACAAAGCATACCACAAAGACTGCCATATGTACTGTGATCATCTTCAGCACTTTTTTCTTATTGGTCCCAATTTGTGACAGTGTTGCCGGCTTGCGAAGGGTTCTCAGCACCACAGAGGAGCAGGAAACATTCAATATGAGAGGGATAATGAACCCAACAACTTCAATAAATATTGTAATCTTGGACAGATAAGTCTTCCAGACACGCTTGGAGAAGCCCTCAAAGCAGGTGGTAGTTGCATTGTTGACATTAGTAGTGGAGAACAAAGAAGCTGAAATACCACCACTAAGGACTAGGATCCAGACTCCAGCACACACAATGGCAGAGTTCCTTCTGGTCCTAATGGTACGAGACCTAAAGGGATAAACAATAGCCAGGAAACGATCCACACTGATACAGGTGAGGAAGAGCATACTCCCATAGATGTTGGTGAGGAATGCAGTCCCCGAGATCTTGCAGAGGGTGTCACCAAAAGGCCAGTGGCGATTGAAGTTGTAAAATATTTTGAAAGGTAGGGTACAAACAAAGAGCAAATCAGAGAGGGCCAGATTGGTAATGAAAATAGCCGTCTCACTTCTCATTTTCATGCGGAAGCAGAAGACAAACAGAGAAGCGCTGTTGGTGATTAGACCCAGGATGAATACAACACTGTAGACAGCACCATTCAGATTATACTTGAAAGAATCATCAACAATACAAGTATTATTGGCAGTCGCATTGCCCAATCTGGGCCTGAGACTTGAATTTAAATCTTGGAACTGGAAGTCAATGAATCTCCTGTCACCCATGGATTTTGCTTTCAGAAGGCCTGCTAGCTGCAGGGACTCACCACTCTCAGATTAGGGACAGACAAGAATTTTTTCCTCCTGTAGAAAAGAAGAAGGAATAAGTCAAGTTAATTTTCCATCCATAAATTCTGTGAAGATATTCTGCTCATCCGATCAAAAGATAATAGATACATATAATTTGGATTGACAACTGCTTCTGAAGTGTCTCTTTTTTTTTCCTGCTGATCCTGGCACTTTTTTGCTCAAGACTAGCAATCTGCCATTTAATTGGAGATAAGAGTATACACATAGAGCTCCCCTATGACCCAGCAATCCCACTTTCGGGCATCAACCCAAATGTTCACAAATAAGGCCATACTAAAGCTACCAGCACAACTGTTTATTGCAGCATTATTCACCATAACTAAGATATGGAACCAACCCAGATGACCCGAAAGTAGATGAGTGGATCAAGAAAATGTGGTATATATATATAGAATTCCATTATACATATGTATACACATATATATGCATATATGTGTATACATATGTATAGTGGAATTCTATGCCTCCATCAGAAAGAATGACACCACCCCATTTGTTAGGAAATGGAAAGACTTGGAAAAAATTATATTAAGTAAAGTAAACCAGGCCCAAAGAAATATAAGTCCCATAGTTTCCGTTATTTGCAATACCCAGTATATTTCTAGGACAAGCAGAAAAGGCCAAAAGCTATATGCCTATGACCATATAAGATGATACTAAGCGAAATGAACCCCAAGATAAGGACACAAGAGATTTTATCTTCCTTGGTATTGTCTTTAATGTATTTATAATATACTATGTGATGTTTTTATTTCTTTTATATGTTCTTCCCCCATGGTATAACCCCTGTTTTCACTGTGTTTGATTCCAGTGCCCTGCATCTTGTATATACATTTTTTTCTAATTTGAGGAGAGGAAGGGAAATAACAAAATGCTGATATAAGGATACAGGTTGACCCATTGTAACAATGAGATGCACAAGACACTATGTTGAAAACGAACTTTACAACTTCAGGGTGGGGGGAGGGAGAAAGGGATGGCAGGGGAAAAACAAAGGAGGAGGTAACAATGTTCCATAGGATGATGTACTCATTACCTTACTCATGTAACTGTAACCCCTCTGTACAGTATCTTTACAATAAAAAATATATATACTTAAAAAAAAAGAGTCTCAGACTTTCCTGCCAGAGCTGGCCTCAAACTAGAATCTGAAATCTCAACCTCCTTGAACAGCTAGGATTACAGGCATGAGCCATGGTTGTCTGGTTCATGTGTCTATTTTTTTAAAGCCTACAGCATCTACTATTCCCAGGCAATCTCCCATCTAAGTACTACACAGGCCCAGCCCTGCTTAGCTTCTGAGATCAGATGAGATTAAGTACCTATGTCATGTTAAAAGGAACTACCTGGATACTCAGAAGGCTGAGATCTGAGGACAATTCAAAGCTAGCCCTGGCAGGAAAAGTCTGAGACACTTGTCCTCAATTAACCAGCAAAAAGCCAGAAGTAGAGCTGTGGCTCAACTGGGACAGCAATAGCCCTCAACAATAAAGCTCAGGAATAATGCCTGGGGCCCTCTAAGTTCAAACCTCAGGTCCTGCACACACACACACACACACACACACACACACACACACACACACACACACACACACACACACACCAACTGCCTGGTTATACGGTACAAGTGGGAGAGATTGTAGCATGGCAATGGACATGAACAAGACATAAATTACTTAAGAGTCTAGGGAGAAATGAGCACCTGATGAGTAACATAATGTTACTACTTTAGAATTCATATGGCATTTTCATTCATCAAAATCTTTTCAAAAGCCATGATTTATTTGATTCCCACAAAAATACTACAAGGTGGCAGAACAGAAATTATCATCATTTTATGGCAGGAGAAAATAAGCTTAAGTGATACGGAGTTGGAGAATATCAGAATTGGAAGAGGCTGTAAATAGTATAGTCAGAATTCGAATTCAGAGTCTTTGATTCCTAACCAATGGATTTTTATTTTTTTATTTTTTTTTACCAAGGGATTTTTAAAATTCAAATTGTGAAAAATTTTTATTGTCAAGGTGATAGAAGGGTTTCAGTAAGGTAATGAGTACATTCCTTGTCAACCTTGTTAACCCTTTCCTCAAATTTCTCCTACTTTTCCTCCCTCCCAATCCCCCCAAGTTGTACAGATCATTTCCAACATACTGTCCTGTGCATATCGCTGTTACATTGGTTCTACCCTTATCCTTTGTCTCACCATTCTGTTGTTCCCCTTCCTTTTCCTAATTCAAACAAGCATATATACAATACCAGGGTACCAAAATCAAATATAGTAACAGCAGAGGATATACCATAGAGGGAAGACCATACACAAGAAAAAAATCACATAGTACATTAAAAAAAAAAAAAAACCAACAGCAAAGAAAAACTACTTGTATCCATGTCTTGGAGTTCATTTCTTTAGCATCATCTTATACGGTCACATGTACTTAGCTATTGAGCTATTCTGCTCATCTGCTAAGATTATCCTAGACATATACTAATTATTGCAAATAAAGGAAACCATGGGTCCGATGTTTCTTTGGGTCTGGCTTACTTCAATAATGTGATTTTTTTCCAAGTCTCCATTTCCTTATGAATGGGATGGTGCCATTCTTTCTGATGGAAGCATAGAATCACATTTTCTTGATCCATATTCATCTACTGAGGGGCTTCTGGGTTGGTTCCATATCTTAGCTATGGTAACCAATGCTGTGGTAAACATAGTTGTGCTGGTAGCTTTAGTGTGGCCTTGTTTATGATCATTTGGGTAAATGCCCAGAAGTGGGATTGCTGGGTCATAGGGGAGTGTAGTCTTTAGAGGAACCTCCATACTGCTTTCCAGAGTGGTTGAACAAGTTTACACTCGCACCAACAGTGCAGTAGGGTTCCCTTTTGACCACATCTCCTCCAGCATCTGTTGTTATTAGATTTCTTGATTGTAACCATTCTAACTGGGATGAGGTGGAATCTCAATGTTGTTTTGATTTGCATGGCCAGAGAAGTGAGCATTTCTTCATGTGTCTATGGGCTCTTCTTATTTTCTCTTCAAAGAAGTCTCTCTTTAAGTCTTTAGCCCACTTATTAATAGGGTGGTTTCTTTGAGGGCTTGTTTTGGGGGGATTTAATCTTTTAAGTTGAAAGTATATTTTAGATATGAGGCTCTTATCTGTTATACGGCTAGTGAAGATCTCCTAATCTCTGGGCTTTCTATTGATCTTGCTAGCTATGTTCTTTGCATTTCAGAAGCTCTGCAGTTTCATGCAATCCCATTTGTCCAACCTATCTTTGATCTGTTGTGTTTCTGGGTCTTTATTAAGGAAATTTTGGCCTGTGCCAAGGAGACCTAGGGTTTCTCCTATTCCATCCTGTAATGTTTTCAGAGTGTCTGTTTTTACTTCAACGTCTTTGGTCCATTTAGAGTTGATGCTGGTGCAGGGTGATATATAAAGATCTAACTTTAGTTTTCTATAGGTGTTTAGCCAAATTTTGCCAGCCCCATTTACTGAAGAGGCTGTCTTTCTCCCATCCTATTTTTTTGGCTCCCTTATCAAAGATTAGGTGGCTATAGGTCTGCGGGTTCATTTCTGTAATCCATGGATTTTTAAGCTACTCTAAATTATACAGTCTACGCTCTCCAGTATTATTGAAACACCATGGCTGAGTACTACTTCAATTACATTAAACAGCAAGTGGATATAGGATCTCCAGAACGTGGTCTAAAAATATTATGATTACAATCCTAAATTGTTGATTAACACACCTTTTTCTACTAAAACAAGAGTTTGGAAGCAAGGTATGATGGCAGACACCTCTAATCCTAGCACTTGTGAGGCTGAAGCAGGAGGGTTATGAGTTCAACACCAGACTAGATACTTAACTAATAAGAATCTATCACACACAAAAAAAAATAAAAATAAGTAGGTAAGACAAGAGTTCAGAGGACAAGAATACCTCAATTAGAGTTGCTAGTTAATCAGAGCTACTAGGTAACAGTTTTCTCATTGTATCACAGTATTTTTCTTGAGAAACAATTCAAATAATAAACATTTATACTGTCAATATTCCCCTCCTGCAGCTCATGGTTCTCTTGCTAACTTTCTCATACTGGACTCTAAGCATAAGATTGCATGTCTTCGTTTTCCTTTCCTACTGCTCACCACTTCAGGTATTTCTATACCTCCATCCTGGTCCTGGTCAGTAAAGTATTTCCCATCAGATACAAATGAGACATGAGAAGTAGATTTGACGTGAATATCCATGCCCCGTTTTGCACACCTGATCTAAGCCATTTGCATGTTCTCTGCCTGCTACTGCTTACATAAGTGACAGCCACTGACTTAACTGAGTATCTAGGCCAACATGGTTTGAAGGCACATATAGAAGTCTTACCAACTTTTTTCTAGGTCAATAGCTGCCATTGGACAGTGACTTCCTTTCAAATCTGTACTGTTAATACACTATGGACAAGTAGCTGCTGAATGATTCTTTTCAATGAGGAGGATATGGAATAAAAGTGGTCTTTGTCCCTTGACATATGCTGAGTTTTGCATGATTATATTGTAAAATGTGAAAGGCAGTTTTCTGAAGTGATTCTTTCTTCATTCCTTTCCTTCAAAACTCCTAGGAAACAGGTCAATGGACCTTTATAGATAATAGAGAAGGGGGTAAAGGGAAACTGCAAGAGATACAGAGGCATGAAATCACCTCAACCTCGATTAGAAACAAAAGCTACTGGGTTTGAGAAAGATACATTCATGCCAAAGAATTAATATTCACATTATGAGTTAAAAAATTAAACACCAAAAATCCATTTCATAAATGGCCAAAATTGATTGAACCAATGATTCTCAAAGGAGGTGCAAATGGCAAATAAGTACATGAAGAAATGTTCAACATCCTTATCCTTAGCCATAAAGGAAATGCAAATAAAAAGAATACAGAAATTCTATCTTATCCCAATCACAAT